ATTTTTACACCAATTTAGTGTGTTTTGAGGGATCATGATCAGGTGGCCCAGAAAAGTACAATAGGAAGGGCGCCAGTAGCTTCACTGACACACTCTGTAGCTTCTTTGAATTTAGACTATAACGTCAGCATCTTGCATCAGCCACTACTAGTAAATGCGCCTTTTGTTCCTGATCAGCACTGTTCCATCCCACTGCTGTTTTATTTGTGCAGACCCTTTACATTTGTATATAGACAAAAAAACTCACTGCCATCGAGTCGGATCCGACTCATAGCGACCCCTCGGGTTTCTGAGGCAGTATCACTACAGAAGTGGACTGCGGAATCTTCCTTCCAAGGAGCTGGCGGTTCAAACCCATCACCCTTCTGGTTAGCAGCCAAATGCCTCAGGCACTATGCCACCTGGGCTCTGCATAAGCAAACCTGGGTAAGTCCCCAGGTTACAAACATCTTTCCTATTGTCTCTACTTTTTCACCCTTACAACTCATACTTGTCCTTTTATGTTATGTAAATTTGCTCTCATTTAGAAATGACTGGCCCAACTCCTAACCACCCCCCCACAAAAAAAACCCACTGCCACTGAATCATTTGCAACTCACAGTGACCCTATCTATACTTACAAGACATATTTCATCACACAACCACCTTCACTTGCTGTATATGTGCAGGTTTTAAATCACTGAAAGGTTTCTAACCCTTTCTTGCCTAAAGTAAGGCTAAATAAGAACAGTATGCACCTGTTCCAACTTACCTACAAATTTGAGTTAGGAAACACCTAAAAATTTGAGCTCATAACCCGAGGGCTGCCTATATACACACACACATGAAAAATACAGCCACACATGTGTAGAATATGTCATTGCTTCCATCAAATTCCACTCTTCCCCCACACAAAAAAGAAAGATTAATCATAAATTATCTCAAAAATCTACTAGTTATTTCATTTGTATATTACATGTATAAAATTTTGAATATTCAGTAATAGATGACCTTTACAGTTGATTTTATCCTCTTTAAAACTCAAAAAAAGTAAATAAAATAAAATTTCCTATTATGAGACCTACTTATTTATACAAAAGTTTCAGATATATTAAGTAACATATCTTTGTTACCTAAGATTTTCAGTGGTCAATCAAGAAAAGATTTAGGAAATAACCTATCTCAGTTAAAATGTATATTTTCCTCCACCATCCCAATATTTTGGTATAAACTGACAAAGTACACAACCCTTCTATTAATTTTGATCAATACTGTTTGCTACTGGGAATAGAGAGCACAAAGACGGTTTCTAACCAGCAGTCTTTTCACAGCCGTTTTTACCTCTTTATTCCTAAGACTATAGACGATTGGATTCAACATGGGAATCAAAACCGCATAGAGCAAAGCCATAAATTTATCTACTTCCTGTGAATCTATAGCTGAGGGCTTCAGGTACATAGAGAGAGCCGTGCCGTAGAACAAAACTACCACAGTCAGGTGGGCGGCGCACGTTGAGAAGGCTCTGCTTCGGCCATCCGCTGAGCTGATTCTCAGGATGTTGGACAGGATGAAGGCATAAGAGATACAGATGAGGACCATTGGCATGGGAAGGAGAAGGATGCTGACCACCAGCATGAGAAATTCTACCGTGGAGGTGTCCACATAAACCAGTCTCAAGACAGCCAGAATTTCACAAGTGAAATGATTGATGATGTTAGTACCACAGAGAGATAACTGCAGTACAGACATTGTTTCCACCAGGGCAGTGAGGCAGCCTGTCACCCAGGAGCCAACTGCAATGTGTACACAAACTCTCTTGTTCATGATGACGGGGTATCTCAGGGGATTGCAGATGGCTACATACCGGTCATACGCCATCATGGACAGGAGCACACACTCAGTAGAGCCCATGGCAAGAGAGAAGTACATCTGCACAACACATCCTGAGAAAGAGATGGTGTTTTGTCCTGAAGCAAAGTTTGCTAGCATTGGAGTGAGCGCAGAAGAGGTATACCAGATGTCCAGAAAGGAGAGGTTGCTGAGGAAGAAGTACATGGGGGTGTGAAGGTGAGGATCCCAGATGCTGACGGAGATCAGGATAATATTGCCCAGCAAGGTGATCAAGTACATCAGCAGACACAGCACAAATAGGATGATCTCCACTTTGGGATAGGGGGAAAACCCCAGGAAAATAAAATGTGAAATTATTGTACAGTTTGTCTTGGCCATGTTATTTTTCATGTACATCTGTAATAGTGAGTAGAAGTATAACTGTATATATTAAATTATTTCAACTCAACCAACTTTCAAGGATTTTTTTTTTCATGGCACTTTAAAGTGATGATTGTCCTGCCCATATTACTAGCAATGTCAAATTAATTATTCATCCATTCAATATTTATTGAATGCTCTATAGGGCATAAAGGGTCTTAATGCACAAAGTCTGCTCTCAAACAACTTGCAATCAAATAGAGGACAAAATCAATTAAATAAATAATTACCATACCATAATATAAGTATTTCTCAGGGGGCTAGGCAAATAGGAGTCAGAACTCTAACTTTATGTTGGGGGTAGCTGCTCAGTGATAGCTTCTGAGAGTTCATCAGAACATTCACTGGACCTAATCAGGTGAAGGGAGCTTTGGTGGCGTGGTGCGTAAGGCCCCTGACTGCTAACCAGAAGGCTGGCAGTTCAAACCCACCAGCCACTCCTCAGAAAGAAGGTTGAGCAATCTACTTCCATAGTGAAACCGCCTCAGAAACCCAAGGAGGGGTCACTATGAGTCAGATCTGACTCCACAGCAATGGATGTGTTCCATTAATCAGGTTAAGGAACAGGCATGCTGAGCATGGGGCAGCTTTTATAAAAGTTGCAATGATAGAAGATTTGCTTGTAACTTACAAACAGTGAAACTTATTTTAATATGACAGTTGGATGTGCTGCATATTATGGAAAATCAGGAGATGAGGCCAGGATATTAGGGAAAAGTCAACTCACTGTCATGCTATTCTGTCCTCAAGAAGGTATTTTTTAATATGGAAATAATCTTGAATTCATTCTTTCCTTAGGGAAAAAGTACCATTTTGAAAGGTTATTTTTATTATTTGAATGAAATTACTTGCAACATATCTTACAACTGATCGCATATAGCAACGTGTTTAAAATCCACGGCCCTAGAGGATAGAGTTCAAATGAAGCATCGCATACACAGGCTTCATGTTTTCATTCAATTTATCCAACCTGACTCCTGATTCTCTACCCCACACACACTTTATGCTCTCAAGTAGCAACCAACTTGTAGTTTCTCATGTTCACCACATTAACTCAGATAGAAACTCAGCCTTCTTCACGTTCTAGTGAAATTTAACCCCCCAAACCATGGGTGAATATAGAACACTTTACTGGTTGGTTCCAGGAAAGTGAATGTTAGACATTTCTGGTCCCACAGTCCATCTGACCACCACATCCCCACTCCCACTGAGGGCTTCTACATCTGCCTTTCCCCACACAACACCCCGTCTTCCGGCTCTGGCTCCTCTCTCACTATCCTCTCTGTTCCCTGTTCACCACTCTCTCACCCTCTTTTTCAGAAACAAAACAGAAATCTCCTTTACTTACGCAGATGACTCCTCGCCAGTTCCCTTATCCTCGGTATAGCCTTCCATCCAAGTCATTTTAACTAGAAATTTCCCCTGTCTCTAAAATGATTTCAGATTCCAGCTGCTAAGATACAGGTTTTCCAACAGTCCCTCTCTTTCTTTTCCGTGATGTCAGAACCAACATGGACCCAGAGAACTTCTAACCCAGCCATCTCATTTGAAAGTTGACATGTGCTTGGAGGGATCAAATGACTTGCCTGAGGCAAATGAGCAAATCTGAGGTAAATGAGGAAACCAAACATCTATCTTCTGTTCAATGCTCCTTTCTCCAATTTAGTATTTCTTCTTGCCATCTGGAACTTCTTTTACAAGCAAATACCTCTCTTCTAGTTTCCTAGCCTAGTTCAGCCATTAATAAATGTTATAGACCTGAGAATGTAAGAAGGGAAGGAATGTTTGTTCCTGTTGACCTCAGCATATGTGACAAACATCTTCCTTTTGGTTAACTTATACTTCAGTATTTAGAATTAAAGTTGATCTTCAGCAGGATCTGTCTTATATTATCCAATGCACTGCTCAAAGAGTACATGAATCTGAACTTTAAATTATGACACTGCGTGGAAACTGTTAAAATCATTGGTGGGGAGGCATTTTATTCAAATGATTTCAACAAAAAGGGATCTGGATGGTCCTGGTTTGCAAAAGAAATCAACACAACCCTAGCCAGATTCCCACACTCTCAACATACAGCGCTCCTATTGGTTATTATTATTATTTAACTTCTTAAGGGAAATCACATTGTGATTGTGTTCTGTCCAAATTACCACCTATGATCTGTCCTCAAAATATTCCAAAGGGTTATCCCTGGAAATGAGACTACTATTTAAATTTCTTGTTGCTATTAGGGACCCTTCAACTCCCTTAACAATTTGATGTTGTCATTCTGAAACATAAAGAAGTTAAGAAACTTTCCAGTTCTCTGGGGTATAATCAGGAGTTCCATTAACGAATTGGGAACAAACAAAAAGAAAATAGATGGAAAGTTTGAATTGTTTCAAATCATTTAGGCCAGGAAAAGGCCTGCTTGAGCAGTACCTGTATGAGTAGAACTTGAAGATGCGATTTGCCTATTCCAATTCTTCTGTAGATGCCTTTGGATTGCATAGCACACAGTGCAGTTAAAAGAACTGTAGATATGCCTTTGCATATAGCCTGTTAGTTTGTAAAGTGACCCATTTAGTGTCAGAATCTGCTCAAATAGCTCGGTGACCTTAA